AAAAATTGGTCGCACCCCTCAAGGAGGCAAGGAAAAGAGGGTGATGGGTGAAGAAGGGGGGCCTGAACCTCCCAAGTTGACGAAGGCTCAGCGGAAGGCGAGGAATCGGGCCCTGAAAGGCCAAGGTACCGGAAAGGGGCAGGGCGGTGCGAGAGATAGGAGAGGCCTGGGAAGAGACCTCAGCGTGGGGGAAATAGGTCATCTAGCCTAGGGAGGAAATTGCAGGATTGGTATATGGGCGACTCCTAGCCTTACTTTTCTTTAAGATATCTGGATATGTCCTGGATTACTTGGGCCCCTCGGATTGAGGAGTACGGCTACGTCGTGATCTAACTGTTTTTAGCTATAGCCTTGGTCAGGGAGACTGCATTTGTTCTTGTGTGATACCCGTGACGATTTGAGTTGAGATTGTTCGACTCCATGTGTATATATGTAACTCGAGAACATTTGGTTCATGTTTGAGCTGGGGTATTGTACCCCTGTGTATATATTGAGTTGAGATTTTATCTGAGACCAATTTTTGTATATGACGATCACAATCACTCTCACATGTGTGGTTTATCCTGATGTATGATGACTTTGTGTGAAAGATGTGTGAGATACATCTCATGTGTATTGGATTGTGTGGCTTTCATGAGAATAAATGGATGTGAACTGTCTGCTCTTCGGTATACTCGTGCGGCCTGCCTACAGGCAGGACAAGACTGAGTATAAGGAGAGGGAGTGCAGTCTGTCATTGTGAAAGTGTGAAAATCCTGAGGGATTTTGCGAGTCTTTGAGGCTCGAGTACTTACCATGCCGGATGTTTTATGGTTAAGTTGCGAAAATGGCCCATAAGTAGGCCCCTCAGTTGAGTTGGTTCGTGGTTGGGTTGTGGAGAGGGTCCATAAGTAGGTCTCTCAATTTGAGTTGTTTTGTCATGGAGACCCCTTTAGATTGAGGGAGGTGGTAGTGTTGTTTATCGGAAGGCTCATCTCCAAAAGGGGAGGTGTTTTAAAAAGGGTCGTGTGATAGCTCATCCTAGGAAGAGAGGGATGGCTGGGAGACCTATTGAGAGAGACCTCCTTCATGTGAAAGGTGATTAATGGATTTAAGGGCATGGTAAGCAGTGTTGAGTTGATAAAGTCTGACGAAAAGGGACCACGTTTGCTCGAGATGTTTGAGAAAGTCGCAAAAGAGTGCAGGGCGAGAGACATCTCAGGATGGGTGGCTGCTGGCTCTGATCAAGTCAGGGGTCACGACCTTGTGGATGTAGCGGATTTTGTTTGTAATTGTGCGAAGGATGCCATGCCTTTCGTGAGAGAGCTGGTAAATGCCTTCAGACCCCTTCGTAATCCCGCAGTGGGCCCGTGATTGGTTTTGCGACGCTCCGTCTAACCACTTGTGCTAGTTCTGGGACATAGTAGGGGAATACCAAGCTAAGCGGTAAAGATTAACACCTCTAGGGCGTAACCCCAGTGGATGGCTGCTAGCCGGCGCAACCTGGCTGCGGGACCGCGGAGTAAGAGTTTAAGGAGAGTTGCCCGCCCCAGGGAAATTACTCCGTGGGGTAGTAAAGGTTGAAAATTTTTGGGAAAACCTGATTGAATGCTTATCAGGAGAAAAACTATCGTTGCGTAACCAACAAGGGTACTGCCGCTAAAATAACAATGCGGTGGGCCGTAGTCCTGGTCCGATCAGCCAGGCTATGGAGGGCCAAGATGGAGACCTAGCCTTTCTGTACTAGACTGCAGAAAGAGCTGAGTCGATACAAAGTATACAAATATACGTATGTGTATTTAATTGTGAGAGATTCTCTGAGAAGGAAGGCAAGAGTGCCCTCAAAGGTCTCGGTTAGGGCCCGCGTCCCTGGTTTTGGCCAGGACTAGGGACACCCAACGAGAAGCCGAAGGTTGTCTAGGACCGGGGAGGGGATGATTGGGAAGGTCTCTGGAACTTATGTTGTCAGCGTCCTAATAACTGGGCAATGTGGGCCCAGGTTAGAAACCTGGCAGCATATAGTTGTGGAGGCATGGTTTGATGGAGACCTCTACCCTGTGTTTATCGGCTAATCGGATTGGTTCCTCTTTCGTCAGCATCTTGGGTAATCTGATAGTTTTTCGATTTTGCGAAGCGACGGGGATGTCGCTTAATGTGGTCCGGTAAGCTGTCAGCGCGAATACCCTTACAAGGGTATCCGCCTTGGTTTTTGCAAGTGACAGAAAACAAGTTTGACCTGGAATTGTTGAGAAGGCCGCGCGACTTGCGGCAGTGTGGTGACTATAGGTTGGCTATGAGGTCTAGAAGTAGAGAGTGCGTGGGCGCACAGGGTTTGAGGGCGCGAGATTGGGAGTATGGGCGATACACATGTGAACTGATATATGGTCTATACTTAGACCTGAGATTCTTGCCCTCTGGTCAGTGGCTCTGGAACACGGCTAATACACTGGACGTATACGCCTCGTCTCATGATCCGAACGAGGGAGATGTAGACTGGGAGGAGATTCGGGCAGTAGTGGGCCGATAGGGGATGCCGTCCTTTTCTACTAAATGCGTTTCTTTTGACTTGGACGGAGTCGTCTCTCTGCCCATTATCGTAGTTATGAAGGTAAGTTGTGCCTCGCGTAGGCCCTATCCTGTCGTAGGGGCTCGCGAGAGGTATGGCTNAGTTGTGCCTCGCGTAGGCCCTATCCTGTCGTAGGGGCTCGCGAGAGGTATGGCTGGCGCACTCGGCCGGAGCGGCCTAAGGAAGCTCCATTTGCGCGTTCGTGTCGAGGTTGGTCCAACTCCTGTGTGACGCGGCCGAGAGGGTCCCGCGCTGCTACGCGCGGTGCCGGACCGATGCGCCCGACAACGTGTTATGTCGAATGAATGGATGAATGAATGTTATATCTGTTTGCTTTCCTTTTGCCTGTCCATACCTTTGCTTGCCATTTTGATACACTTATGAGCATAGTAGAAACTTTCGCGTAGTTGTCACTATTGTTGTTTGTCATTTTTGATCTACTGTTGTTGCTGTGATGCCTGATGTGTAATAGCACCTTGCATGCTCAGGAATGATTGCACGCGGGATTACAGAGTGATTAGATGATTGGGTAGTTGTTTGTCCAGAAACAAGCGCGTGTAAGCGCGATCTGATCTGCGCAGCCTACACGTATCCTTGCGTGCCGATTCGCGACCATCGACGAACTTGACGCCTTCGATATCGGGTAGACGCGAATAGTCCTTCCCTCACACACCTAAACGGAAAGGAATTCTGATATCACGTCGGAACATCCCCTTGCCGATTAGACGTATGTGGAAGAATTCCCTCACACCGCAATGATAAAATGTCGAGCTCCTGGGACTCGGAGTACTTCGACTCTTGGGTTAGGGAATGCATTAGGCAAAGATATCCGGAATTCCCCTGCTTAATGGAGAATCGATTATGCCCCAGGGAGTTTCACTGTGTCGTAACCAACGATCCGAGGTGCCCCGATTATCCAACTACGGATAACTCGCACTACTTCATATCCACCGGTTCCGTTGTTATCACTACCAATTTCCCTCCCTTCCGTCTCCTCCTCCCGTATCACCAACTCACGGTGGTTCCGTGGAATTCCATCACCCCGTATTGGCCCCGCACGCCTTGCGAAAATTGTCGACGACGCAGCAATCAACGAGCCCCGGAAACTAGAGGGCCTAACCAGAACACGCGACGACAGACGCCACGTGCCTGCACCCAAAGGTCAGACTCATCGGGACCACAGCTATCCCGGGTGGGCCTCTCCCCGCACCACCGCCGCCAAAACAGACGAACCGAAAGGCCTTGAATGCACCGCGCATGCCATCTGCCTTATGCTACGCGACATCGAAAAACATCAGACTGGAAGTAACTCGCCCCCTTAGCCCTATTGCATCTATGCCCCTGAAACTTTGCCACATGAGATCTCAGTTCTGACCCGAGACTCCACCCCCACTTTCCCAAAAATCCTTGGCACACCCCTTTTCGCACTTCCAGGCCCACATCCGACTCCGATCAGGAAGTCGCGTTGGGCGTGAGGTTGGTATCGGAGCCCGACACGTGGCAGGGGTCTAGGACTCATAGCTGGGCGATCTGGCTAACAGGGGACGACCTCGACCCCAGAACGCGCACCGACGAGATCCCGTCGTCACCAGAAGCCGGTCTGCGGCTCGACGGACGGTCAATATGAATGCTAATCAGCAGAACCCCCAACAAAACCCGAACCCCCAACAGAATCCTAATCAACCCGTACCACGAGCACGGACTCCCATAACGCCACCCGATCTTTATCTATTCGATCTTGCTCATCACCTCGCTGGAGCATGGCTAGCCACGCTCAGGGCTCAATAGTACGATGATAACGAGGCACAAGCGAACATCCCTGCACGATTGGGAGGAGATGCCCATCACTGGTTTAGTTCCTATATAAGGGTTGATCTCCCAATATTCAAGCGAGATTTTTTGAACCGATTCGATTACATCCACCCAGAACTGGCTCTCTTTATGATCAAAGATCGAGTTAAAAAACCCGTCGAATCTGTTACCGAGTATCGAAACCGATTTTATAGGATGTTTGTGAAAACAGAACGAGGCGAACAAGTAAGCAGAGATTTGTTCATCGATGGACTTCGCAACCGAACAATGAGGGCGAAACTGCGAAAACAGTTTTTCCCCATCAATCACACGCTGCAACAGATCATGGCAGTCGTAGAAGAAATGAAACGAAAGTTCGCTGCGAGTTTCCTAGAGGGAGAAGACTATCCTAGGGAGGGAGACTCTTCCGAACTAGTGAGAGCTAGAGCTGAGTTAGCTGCCCTGCAGAACAAATTTGAAAACATGGGGTTTGTGTCGGGCCCTGTCACCTATCTGGAACAGATTAGTCCCAAACGACCGGTCCCGAGTGTGATTAGGAGCGTTCCCGTGCCCATAATGACGGCACCCCCGCCACCAATCGAAATCCCCGCACGACCGAATGAGTCTTCCGCCCTATTAGAACTAACCAAGACATTGGTTACTCTGATTCATAAAAGCAAAAAGGAACAGCGGGAACACAACGCTCGAATAGAAGCAATGATGAGATCAATGCGTCCAATAGCGATGCGTGTCGCCCCGATTCAACACGGATTGGCCCCGGCACCCCCTCCTACAGAGATCCCTTGCATTCTGAACGTCTATTACACGTGTCACCAACCAGGGCATATAGCCCAAGATTGCCCTCTTCGACCCCCACAGCAACGAGTCGGAGCCGCACCAGTAGCAGCAGCCCTGATCGCCAACGGACCGGGACGAGTAGGGGCATTGATGGAAGAAATGGACGGAGGCGGAAGCACATTGGCTACGATGGAAAAAGTTGCGGAACTAATTTCGTTGGATCAGTACGTAACGCTTGGCTATCCAGGACTTGGGATGATTGGAACGATTAGACCCGCGCCAGAACAAAGAGAAGTGGCAGAATGGCGACATTCTCCAGGAGAAATGGAGTCAGGAGGACCTACCTTCGTCACGGGGGAGATCGATGTTCTAAACATCGTTCGAGCCTTGGACCATCGGATTCCTCTTCCGGTCGGTCACCTACTCTCGATATCGGAACAAGCTAATGAACGAATGTTGCAACACTGCAAGGTAAATCGAAAACGATTCGCCCTTGTCCGAACAGCGAGCACAAAAACAAAAAATCCCACGCCAGATGAAAATGCAGCAGGGACTTCAGACCCGATACGATTAGGATTAATCCAGAAAGATGATCACTTCCTACGGATTAAACCGATCCCATGGAAATCCGCCGAATGTGATATGGAGATATGGGGAATCCCGTACAACGCCATTATCGACTAAGGAGCCGCTGTTTTGGCTATCTCGTTACGGGTAGTTGAAAAAGTAGGTAGAAAGAACGATCTAATTTACGAAAAAAAATCAGGTCGTGTCAGCAGATGAGGAGAAGATCAAAACGGTGGGACGAATGACCAATGTTGCTTTTCGATTAGGGAAGGTACATGCTTTGGGAGATGTCGTGGTCTTAGACGTAAACACTTACGATATCCTTTTTGGCCTTCCCTCTCTTGTAGCCCTGAGAGTCAATTTGGATTTCGAAAGACGATTGATTGTCCTCAGAAATACAGGAGGAAAACCGTATGTTGTACCAATGAGATTGACCCTTCGTACCGCCACTAACGCGACTGCGCGAGTCTTCCCCATGATGGCGGAAACTCTCCGCGTGATCACCTGGGATAATTCCGCAGACAACGGGCATCCGTCAAAAGATACGGAGAGCAGTGATGAGGACGATCCGGTGATCCTGGAGATGGCACAACAACGTTTCTATTACCCTATACAACGAGCAAACACAAGATCGCTAAGCCTGACCAATCAGAATCTACAGAGAACGCAAGCCATGATTATGGGTGAACCCCTCGTGCAGATTTCGAGGATGGTCGATTCTTTGGAACCCCCTCAAACCCTGTACGAAGGTATCTCCCCTTTACTTACACGATACGATGACAAAAGGCACTATTGCAATATCACAAATCTCCCACGATCTCTCTTGACGCCTGCAAAAGAGATACTATTGATACGCTTAGGGGCGGAGACCAACTCCTTGGAACCCCCTGAGCGCCTTGAAACCGGACTTGGGATTAAAATTGCGACGAAACCAGTGCCTTGGTAGGACATTCGAGACGGGATAACACCGGAAGAACACGTGGCCATTCGAGAACAGGATGCGCAGATGATGGTCACGGTATTCTCCTGGCGGTCGGACAACTCGTTTATTTCCGCGCCTCTACCCGAAAACACTAAGCGGGTAAGTACGAAACACATCGATGTGCGGATATGGGACGAGCTGTACGAGTTGCACGTGCCCTAATACAAACCGGATGAGATCCATCATCTAATCACGAAAATTCTAAAAGAATACAAGGGAGCAATTAGTCTGACGGACATAGACATCGGACGGTCGTTGGTCATACAGCACGAGATCCAGACCGGAAACCATCCCTCGATTCACTGCAAGCCCTACAGATACTCGTTGGTAGAACAAAAAACGACCCTTGAGCGGATTCGAGAATTTGAAGCTAATGGTTGGATTGAACCCGCCGCTGGGCCATGGTCTTTCCCGGTAGTGTTGTGGTCGAAAAGAAATGGATCGATTCGCATATGCATTGATTATCGCAAGCTGAATGACATCACGATTAAAGATGTGTATCCCCTTCCCAGGATTGATGATTTGCTTAATGCGATTGAATGTGCTAATTATTTTAGTAAGTTTGATATTCGTCACGGCTTCCATCACATTCTGGTTAAGGAGGAAGATCGGTCGAAGACGACCTTTGTATTGTTTGAGGGAACGTGGCAGTGGGTCCGATGTTCGATGGGTATTTGCAACATGCCTGCCACGTTTCAGCGGGCGATGAACGTGACATTTCAGAACTTCGTCAACAAGACGTGGCTCACTCAAGGGATGATTAACTTTTGCGTCATCGTGTACATGGACGACATCCTCGTCTACTCGGAGACCTATCACGGGCATGCACAACACATCGAGTGGACGCTGGGAGCTCTGAGAGACGTTGGGTTCAAGATCGCGCTTGAGAAGAGCGAGTTTTTTCTTTCAGAAATCTCGTTTTTAGGTTACGTAGTGACACGTGGAGGACTGCGGCCAGATTCAAGGAAAGTCGCGGCGGTGAAAGATGCTCATGTCCCCATGTCAGTAACACAAGTTCGAGCTTTCCTGGGACTGGCATCGTACTACCGTCGTTTTATCAAGGGCTTCGCTGCGATTGCGCGACCTCTGACGAATTTGCTGCGAAAGGACCAGCCCCTCAGTTGGGACGCAGAGTGCGAACAGGCCTTCGCCACCGTCAAAGGCGCTTTGGCGACGACACCTATTTTGATCGGGTCGGACCCTAGGAAGCAGTTCATTCTCATCACGGACTGGCAGCCAGAGGCGATTTCCGCTATTTTAGCGCAGAAAGGGAGTGACGGTCGAGAGCACGTCATCGAGTACGCGTCTCGTACGGTGCCAGACGAACGAAGGAACGACTCAGCCCCACAAGGTGAATGCTATGTTGTAGTCTGGGGAATTCAACATTTCCATCCGTACTTGTACGGACAGAAGTTCCTCCTTGTAACCGATCACGAGTCATTATTGGCTCTCAAGAAGCTCACCAATTACACGGGTATGATTGGACGGTGGGCTGTGCGCCTACAGGAATACGACTTCGACATCATCCACCGAAAGATAGAGAGGCACGACAACGCGGACGGGTTAACATGTTTGCATCGCCCCGCTAAGGTACTGAAGGGGGAAGAAATCATTCCGTGGAAGGAACCAGAGTCAGCAAACGGACCCAAGTACAGACAAGTGGCAGTCCTTCCACGTGGCAAGAAGCAGGCGATTGGGTGACGGAGGTAATCTTACAACTCCTCTCTCTCCCCTCTCATCTTCGTCTTTTCTCTCCCTGCCCGACAAATTTTGTTATTTTTGCGAAGCGATCTCGCGCATCTACTCGATCTCAATGCATCATAGCGAAGAAGGGTATGCGAAATGGGTAGATTGTCGGCAGTGTGTCGCACGAGCCCATGGCTCGTGCATCCAGTACAGAAACGACGATAAACCTTGGTTGTGTCCCTTGTGTCGGACTGATAAGATCCCGACTGAAACTCGTTTTATTGATGCCACATCTGAAGGGTTGGAAAAGACCCGGAAGCTTAGAAGGGCAGAGGTATGGACGGACATCGCTCTAATTGCCACCTTGGTAGGAAACCCCCTCCAGGACTTCACTAAGAAGGATCGGAGGAGGGCCAACGAAAGAGCTCGGGATTATTGATGGAACGAGGGCTGATTAGAAAAACGGAAGACGGATGGTAGCGGGATTTGGATGGTAGTGCCTCACCCGTTCATGAGGTATGACTGGGTTAAGACGGTGCATGAGGAAATTGCAGCCCATTTTGCCGTACGGATCACGGAAGCGGCAATCGATAAGAATAAATGGTATTGGTCCAATATTCGCGATGATGTGAAATTCATCGTCGCGAATTGCCAGGTTTGCGCAACTGAAAAGGTACCGATCCAACCGCCAAGATCGATAGTACCGACGATAGTCGAACGACCGTTTCAGAGGGTCAGCATGGATACCACCGATATTGTGGTGCCCCCTGGACCTAATAGCTGCGAGTATTCAATCCTACTGGTATTCGTGGACCACTTTTCGAAATGGATTGAGGCCTATCCGTGTTGTACACGTCAGGCGGCTGAAATTGCACGATATGTCAACCGGTTTCTAGGGATGCACCAGGACACAGAGGAAATCCTAACCGACAATGGGGTAGAATTTAGAGGGGAGGTTCTAAGGAATCTGGCCGTACACGGCGTCGCCATTCGGAACACGGCACCCCACATGTCACAATCTAACGGGCTGGTAGAGAATGCAAATAGGGTAATAAAAACTGGGCTATGACGAAATATCGCGGCACAGGACCCGAGGCCTTGGCCCGATATCGAAGATCACATCCTAGCGGTCCATCGGGGAACGCCCCACGAATCGACGGGACTGAGCCCGTTCCAATTATGGACCAATAGTGCGGCCTGCGTTTCGATACCGAGCCTTCCGGATGAATCTTCGTTGAACCGACGGCCTACGAGAGCCACGGTTCGGGACAAGGCCAAGCGACATATGGAACTGATGGAAAGGTCCCTGCCCTGACTAGCCCGGAAGCGCCAGAAAATGACTGAGTTGGCCCACGACCGACAGGTTCGCAGTTACGAGGCCCGGAACGGGATCGCGGGTCTGTGGCACCAGTATAAATTAGGGGACTTGGTGCAGGTGAGGAAATGTGCTCGCCAAGGGAAGATATCGCCACGATTCTTCGGGCGATTTCACGCGATCGAGCTCGGCCCGAACGGGGTGAACACAGTGCGCCTCGTGCTAGAGGTCTCAGGGAGCCGATCGGCTCCGCCGATCGTACGCCACATGTCCTATCTACGTCCCCTCCATTCCTCCCCATCTCTAGCAGCGCTTTCTTCCTCCTTCGCTTCAAAGGAAGACGACGATTCTCTATCGCCTTCATCTCCTCCTACATCTCCCGCCCCCTCTTATACCCCCTCACCATCGCCATGAGTTTTCCCACTGAGCGAGCCTTCGGTGATCACCTGCTGGCGCCACATGGTTACATCTCGGCAATCCGGCAAGTTCATCATTCGCGCTTCAGTCTGGATCTTCTACGGCTTGCCCAGTTCTTCTGTACCACAGGGGTATACGAGGCAGCAGAGTTCCGATTCGCGATCAATCGTCAGGCGGTTGTGTTGGCGGAAGCGGTAGCTGTTCATCGACTGTCAACCCCGGGGGTTAGCCATGTGTCTACCGTTGTCTCCTTCAGCGGCGATATCAGCGCGATCAGCCCGCTGCGACATACGGCGATCCGGACGTCACTAAGGGAGTGGGGTCAGCAGTTGGCAACAAAGTGGAATCACTAGCTTTCTCGCCACGGAGACAATCTTGTCCCCACAGACGGCATCGAGGTCGGTGGGATCCGAACGTCTCATCACGAGCCGACAGTGGTGCTCCCGGAGCTCATCCCCTTTCAACACCCCCAATGAACCGCTCCCAACCCCCCACCTTCGCCCTCCCATCTCTCTCCCCCACCTTCTGGTAGTCTAGTCTGCACCCTCGCTTCTCCTTCTGTCTGGAGCCGCTCTTTGTTCCCCTCCTTGATCCTAGGCAGTGGGAGTTGTGGCGCGAACATTTCATCGATCTTTCTGTGTGCCTGGTCGGGGTGCGACTCACGTGGACAAGGGACGAGGAACACCGTGCTTGGATCGAGTACCTGGAGTTGCTCATCATACAAGCCTGGAGGACGGAAGTGGAGGGAGACCTCCTCGGATTTTTGTTCGGATCAGTGCGGCTCGGCCATCGGCAGATAATTTTGCAAGAACTCACGATCCCTCTCACACAACTGGTCGACGATCTCCCTCTTGATATCGTCTCTCAGTGTGACAAAAGCCCAATCCCACACATCCTTACACGAACTCTGACACCTTACCTTCAGTGGTCAGCCTACCTCGAGGAGTCGGGAAGCAACAACAACCTGCCATCGCAACGGGGATACCTGAACTCGCGAGAGATAATCGACCTTGCATTCTTCCAGCCTCGAACAGCCTCCGAAGACGAGGAGCTAACAATAGAAGAAGGAGAAGAAGAAGAGGACGACGCTGACGAAGATGAAGAAGAAGAAACGCCGGAAGAAGGCAGCTACAACGAACACAGTGAGGGAGAGCAGAGCGATGAGGAGGAGGACGAAGAACAAGAAGAAGAAGAAGAAGACCAGGAACAGGAAGTATCCGAGTGGGAAAGCTTGGAAGAAGAGGCGGAACATACGGACGCTCAGGCGGAAGATCCCGAGGCGGTACGAAAGAGAGAAGAGATCGAGGCCGGGAAGCGACAACTCGAATTCGCAAGCGGAGCGGATTTGCCGATAGCCGACGATCCAGCTAAAGATCCAGAGCCACCCAAGCCCGAAAATGGGGACCCTACCGCCGAGACTTCGAGCGCACCGGCCCGACGGCGACGAAGCCAATCCCCCTCCCCCTCCACCTCCGACAGTCCACCAGTTCGAGCCCGTACCGATGCGGGCCATCGGGCTTCGTCCCCGGTCCTTATCCCGTCGTCCCCTTGATCACTTCACCCTCCTCCAGATCACCACCCGCGTCACCTTCCCCCGTAATGCCTTCCCGATCGATACCTTCCGATTTTTCTACGTCACTCGCCTTGTTGTCACTGTTCACCCCCAACCCTCGACCCGGTGTGCCCTCCCCGACTTCTGTCTTCATGTCCTCCTCTTCAGTGCCGCATGGCGAGGCCACAATATTGTCGAGGTTTATTGCATGATCACGGGGACTATCCCCGCATGCAAGAACCACGATCGATTCCGCGTGACACTCTTCCGAACCTTCGCCACCCTCTACCCTGACTATCTCGCCTCCCTCCCTCATAGTGGTAATCGATTCCCTTGCTTCCACCAGATCGTCCGATATCAGGAGCTTCCGGAGACAGTCGTGGGGTTGGAACGCTTTCTACCCCCACTCCCGACTAACCCACCCCCTCGTCATGCCCCCATGTATCATCTTCCCTTTCCCCTTCCCTAAGGACATTGATGCATGGTTGATTAGTATGTGCCACGGCGATGGCACAAAAGATCCCCTCCTTAGATTAAAAAGAACCCTTCCTGAGGAATTCGTAGAATAGAGCCACGTATGCCACACTGGATGACGTCCACAATCTTTTCGTACGGTAAGTGGCAACGAAAAACTCCGCGTGTCGATCGATTAGAGAAATTGACACGTGTCATGATTCAAGCAAGCAGGAGCTTGCTTAAGATTGGAACCCCCTGGGCGTCACATATGTGACGAACCGATTTCTGTTCCGCGCGACTTTCTGCGCAATGACAACGAGGGGTCCTAAGTTGGGAAGGTTGGGCCAATTACGGGAGATCGGGATTGAGGAAAAATTGCATCAGTGTCCTCGTTTTTTCGTCTTTTCTCTTTCGTCGCTTCTTTTCAAATGGCTGGATTCAGGGTCGGGCAAGTCCCGGGATGATTGATTGAGTGGCTGTCGCGCCGACCAGGCGCGATTAATAATGGTTGACATCGCTTCTTTTTCTGTGCTGTTGTCGGATTTAGGCGCGGAGGTCGCGCAAGAATTTTGTTTCGTTCTTTTTGAATTTCTTTTTCGAATCTTGTCGAGCCCTTGATGGCTCTCGGAACTTCGGATTCTCTTTTTGGAATTTGTGTCTCTTTTTGCATTAGCTAGGAATTTAGGAATTTAGGAATTTGGGATTTCTTTTGCTGCGCGATGTCGAACGCATCGGTCCGGCACCGCACGCGGCAGCGCGGGACCCTCTCGGCCGCGTCACGCAGGAGTTGGACCAACCTTGCCGCGAACACGCAAATGGAGCTTCCTTAGGCCGCTCCGACCGAGTGCGCCAGCCATACCTCTCATGAGCCCCTACGACAGGATAGGGCCTACGCGAGGCACAACTTACCTCCACCTTACGGGAGTTGTCACCTCCCTTCGGTGGGCGTATCCCCGCCGAGCTACCAGTCCACAGTACGAAAGCTACTCGGTTGCAATCGCAGAGGTGGACCAGCCGAGGGCGTTTCTCGTTCGCTGTAGCATAAGGGGTATGCGCGGTAATATGCCTATCGGACCCGCACGCGAACCGACATCTTGGGGGGCTGAAGTCCCAAGCGAGGCTCGACATCGGTCGACTAGGACGCATCCCACACACCACGCGCACACCACTTTACGAACAAAAAAATAAAACGCACACACACACACACTTCGAACAATGCGACAACACTTCTCGTCCCTTCAGTAGCCGTCCCATAACTTCCCGACGCGGAAATCGGATAGGCGTCGCGCGCGAGACTCAGTATAAAACCGCGCGGACGCAGGGCTAACTCATATCAACTCGCAATGCAAACGTACGCAAGCAGTCGCAATGATGTCGTACTATGTAATGCACATAATCGTGCGGCCCTCGTTAATCTCAAGGGTCGCATTCGACACTCAAGTGTCGGTTGACACGCGCCTTGAGGGTTAATCTCTCGACGCTGGACAACCACCATGCACGGTTGAAGACCACACACCCTCTTCTGTACTCTGTGTAGAATGGGTGGTACACAGGTCCATACCTGTGGTGACAGTCGTTTCTTGCGGCCCTGAGGGTAAGTTTTACTCCAGGCCTGGGCAAAAGTCAAGGGGTTTGACTTTGACGGTTGCCACGGACTACAACGTCCAACCATACAAACTCTAAAAAGCAAGGGTAAAAAGAGAATTCCCCTTCTCTCTCAAGACACAATCTGGTTAACCCTTATGCTCAATTACAATAGGTCTCTCAAATACTTAGGGCACTTATAAGTATATAAGGGTTAATTATATAGGACGATCACTTCTCACAGTCACAGTGAGGCTCCTCTAAGCCATATATGTATGTAATCGCAGACAGTCACATCCAAAATCCGAACCACAAACGTACCTGCAATCACATCAAAGATTCAACCAAAAGTTCACGCACTACACGGGGTCAACTTCAACCATTCCCTGCGCTCATACCCCTCGCTTTAGCCATACAAGCCTCACTCGTGCAACTCTTAAATAAATACTCTGTACTTTTGTTGGATGACCATTCAATAAAATCCGGGTGAAAACACAACAAAACAGTTCAATCACAAGGCTAAAGTCTTTAGGTTGAGTGACATGAGTGAATTGAAGTTGAATCGTAAACCGACGAATCGGCAACCGACCTGTTATCAGTGATAACAGAAGATGACCCTCGTAGGATCAGGCTGAAACTAGTCCAAGTCCTGAATCGAATGTCCAAGAAAGACATGTACCATAAGACAGGTCAATGCCCAAGCTAAATCATCAGCATATGGGGGATGATCCTCCATAGCACATTCTCACTCAAAGTTATCTGTCAACTAAGTCTAAGCCTACCTCTAAGCCAGTGCGCAAAGCAAAGGTAGACTAATGGCAGAATCTCCCCTATTCAGGGTGGATTGCCAGAATCGCCACCTGTCAAAATATAATCTAACTCCTCTAAATCAAGAAAATTTTGACAGCGCTTCCCGTAGGAAAAGTGTCTTTCCAAAATTTATATCAGCGTGAATATAAAACCATAAGTAGTCTTTGATTTTCCAAAGTCCAATTTTTCCTAACTCCCTGATTTAGCAAAAAATTGAGCAGCACTCCCTTTAGAAAATGAGACTTTCCAGTTTTTTTTACCAAGTCATATATGAACTTTAGACAGACCGAACTTTGAGGAGCCAAAATTTGACTAACTCCTTGGACTTGCAGAAATTTCGGCAGCGCTTCCCGTAGAGAAAATAGCTTACCAACATTTATACAGAGCCAAGTATAACAAAAAATCCCAGAAAATGTGAGAATTGATCTAAGTAAAATAAAGTCAACTCAGAAAATGCAGAAATCGAAACTAACTCCTATCGCTCTAGCACGTGGCGAGCCTCAAAAGCAACTAACCTGAAACTCAGACAAAGTAGTAATCTCACTCAGCCACATGCAGGCTAAACCACGAAAAGTAAGTACTCCCACTATCCCAAAGTTAACCTTTACGACAATAGTTTGTAGCCTCTCAATGCTTTACCCCCTTATACCCTGCTTACATAGGGCATTGAGGTTGGCATTCGTCTTCGAAACAATGTCAACCCTCTGCCTTAGTTATACACGAACAGGTTGCACAACTACTTTTCTCTTCATTGGGCATATGACTGAGTCGTTCGTCTTAGAAACCATGCTTAGTCGCCCTGAACTGTTTAATTAGCCAAGTTATATATATCTCTCTGTACCTTAGTCTTCAAGAGAAGGGCGTAGGGATGGGCTATTCATTTTAGAAACAATGTCTAACCTGCCCAGGTTACCTTCCGTTATAACTCTTGGTTATACTCTCTTTGCTTGTGATAGGGCTATAGTCTGACCATTCGTCTTAGAAACAATGTCTGACTAGCCTCGTTCTCATATAAGCATATATACATATATAGAATTATAAAAAATCCTATTATTTTGTTCCCCTTATAGTCCTGAGGCCTCAGACTTAGACCATTCGTCTTAGAAACAATGTCTAGTCCTTTGGCCTGAATCCTTCCTCAGAATAAAACAACCAAGGAGAGATGAGTCATTCGTCTTAGAAACAATACTCAGCTCCCCCTTTTTCAGCACACAAAAAAAACAGAGTACCCTGGGTCTGACCCAGAGACTGTTCAGAAATCACCCAAGTAAACAACGACCAGACCATTCGTCTTAGAAACAATGTTTAGTCCTAAAAAGTCAAGCCATCAATACCCCTCAAATTAAGTAGCCAGGCCATTCATCTTAGAAACAATGCCTGGCACAATTAAAGAAACACAGCAACCAAGTCATTCGTCTTAGAAACAATGTTTGGTTCTTTAGAAAACAGAACAAAACACAGCAGTCAGGCCATTCATCTTAGAAACAATGCCTGACCCTATAAGACCCGTTCAATCGCAAGCAAAACTGCCTTCCTCCCAGCCTTCCCCCAGATGCATCCCCTTGTGACAATCTGCTTTCAAGCCATCAAAGAATCTGAAATTGTCATTATACATGCGCTCCTTTAGTTAGTATGATTTGTGTCCTAAACGTCAATCCAAAAGTCAAGGTAAGTGTTGCATACAACCCAATCAACCAATACATGGGGAGGTGTATAGGTAGGGGTTATACTGGATTTATAAGAGAAGCAATGGTTACTTTTCAATTCCCTGCCTCCAGAGCCTCGCCTAGGCTCCGGCAGAGCTCCCGCAATCGGTGGGGCGAACCTCCCACAGAGGCCTTGGCGCGGATTACGGGTTGCAATCCCGCCTGCCGCCTTCCTCTCAGAACTAAATTGACCAGACTTAGATTAAGAAGGGTAGAGAAAGATAGTTTGAGACTCTCAGATCCAAGGAAGGTACTCTCAGACTCGCAGGAGAGGGCCTTGATTCCTCGGTACGTCCGAGGGCCCCGCAATGGTAGCCAAATCGCATGGCTCGGTCAACCCAAAGTCAAACTGCTGGGCCCAACTCTCCTGGCGAATTCTCGAATTGCAGCAATACCCCCCCTTTCCTGTCATCTCTTTATTGCCGGTGCATAGCAGGCTGTAACAGTCCGCAATAGTATGCCGCAGCATGCGGCAACAGTGCTAATTTCT